GCACCACAAAGTCGGAGTCGCACTGATTTGAATGGTTCCATTGCCGACAAATTGTCAAAAGTAGTGCAGGAACTACTTTTCAAATCGATGCGTCTCCAACAAAGTCAGAGTCGCACAGATTTAGACTGGTTCCGTTGCCGATCATAGGGTCCATTTGACAAGTCCCACGATTTCAGTCTGATGCAGTGTGAACTTAGGCTAAAAGCTAGTTTGTCCCAGCAGGAGAGGATTGTACAGGGACTAAGTGTGAGCTGCCAGTGTTAAGCTGGCCATACATCATTTGTATGGAAATTCTGAAAAATCATATGTTGGAGCATTTGATCTTATCATTGAGTCATCTAATTTAGTTTGGAAGCCCTTAATTTTACCCAGTAAAATTTTATTCTCATCCGAAAAGCTCAGGGTTGTTATACAAGGTCTTAATTTCCCAATAGAAGCCTAAAATTGTCACTTGCTACTATTGCTTATTTTAAAGTGCATCTATAGCAGCATTTCTCAACATTTTTAACACCAGAGGGAACCCCTTAAACTGTCATGTCTTTCTAAATCCAGTTAGTTGGGATAAAATGGCGAAAAATGCCCTTATAATGGTGGTGAGTATAAAGAATGCTCCCATTATGATGGTGTTCAGACTGGCACCCCAATATTATTGGTATCATGCTGCTGGTTTTGCCAAGTAGCATTGGCCTTGGAACTATGAAGATCAGGCACAGCTCAAGGAACCCCTAGTAACCTCTGGAGGAACTTTTTAGGGTTCCATGGAACCCTCGTTCTGAAGGCCGATCTATAGGCATCTGTCATTCTGCTCTCTCCTCCTATCAACATACCGATTGCACAACTGATTTGCTCCTTGTATTGGTTCTCCCTCCCCCAGTCTGAGCTGTTCTGTACTGAGACTGCAAGAAGCTGATACCAAGTCAAATTCAGGTGCTTGTACTTCTTACTTCTAAAGATACGTTTACTGATGTATGAATGACTATTCCGCTTTGAAGTTGAACACTGAGATACACGGAGAAGGCGAATGGCAGATAGCAAAAGTGTTTAAAAAAACAAAAAAAAAAAACACGAAGTACAATTTTTTTAAAAGTTTTGGATTTCAAAAAAACATACATATTTACCTAGGTGGATGCAGCATCGGTCGCCCGCTGGCTCTAAGACTGAGGACTGATTGCTCAGTCCTCAGTTCTCAGTCTTCAGCGAGCAGTAACTGACAGTCATGAGCTCTCTGCTCTGCCCTTTAATGTAAACCTGTCATGAGGGAAATTTGATAACTGCTGTTGCTGACCTTTAAAATGTTAGTTGTCTAGCCATCTCTGGCTTCAATACTTTGAGGCGCTGACCCAGTGAGGCTAAAGCTCCTAGTCTATATGCTAGTTCTGGGTTTAGGTTACTCAAAGCATTAACACCATATGATCCTCAAGGCCCTCTCAGGCAACTGGCCCATTTTTAGAAAGAAGGGGCATCAATTGCAGCCCATTGTACTTAATTGGTTTCCTTTAAAGGATAATTTCACCTTTCATTTTCAGGGTGTAACATGTTATGAGCGGACTGCCACCTGATTCCCATTGTGACAGCTAGCGGGGGATCGGCTCCTCCCTTCTAGCTGTCACAATTTAAGAAAAAAAGAAAACCGCGGCTGTGCAGGGCTTCAGACGGTGTTCAGTTTTTTTTTTTTTTTTTTTTTTTTTTTTTTTTTTAAATATTTAAAAAAAAAAAGGGTGAACTTATCCTTTTAATCACTTTGCCATGAATAGTCTTGTGACAGTTTCTCTTTGAACTCTCGTGGCACAAACAGCGTATGTTGTTAAGAGCTAGCCTCTTCCGGAGATGCAGGAGCATTGGTCACAGCTGTTGGGTTCTGCATGGCACTGTTTGTCAAGCTACTACTGCCATAACACTTATTATTCTCCCTCACTTGTAAGTGCCTAAAGTTCCTCAAGGGAGATGATTTGAGTCTTGGGAATTCTTGATTTATTTAGCTGCTCTTCAGCAGTATGTTAGCAGCAAGTAAATGATAATAATTACATGAATACATCTGTTCCCCAGATGTAACTTTCCTGTACTTGCTCAAGTGTTAATCTGACAATCGCACACATCTCAAATATACTCAAAACCAGTTAAATGGCAAATTTATTGTCTCAGTTATGATTTTTTTTGTGTGTGGTGTGGTTTTGTTTATGGCACTTTTTCAGGCTTATATAAAAGTTTTTTTTTTTTTTTTGTAAGCGTGTGTGTGTGTGTGTGTGTATGTATGTATGTGTATGTATGTATATATGTGTGTGTGTGTGTGTGTGTGTGTGTGTGTGTGTGTGTGTGTGTATGTGTATATATATATATATATATATATATATATATATATATATATATATATATATATATAGTGTGTGTATATATATTTTTTTATAAAAGAGCAGGTGCTTCTCCTCAGCTCCTCATCTGACAGAACCCAGTCTTACAACGTCTGTCAAATGAGCATATTGGAAAACCAGCATCCGATCTGCGTTTTGAAGCGAGCAGTGATCGCTGTGTTCTGGGGCAGGATGGATGAGGGGGGGGGGGGCAGTCCCCTGTCAGAACACAAAACCTCAGCAGGGGAGATCGCGACACTAACATCGGATGTATTAGTACACGATCTGAAAATTATTATTTTTTTTTTTTTTTTCTGTTAAGCCTGCTGTGTTGAATGGGGGGGGGGGGGGGACTGCCCTGCCCTGCCCTGCCCTGCCCTACCCATGTGCACCAGGCTTAAAGGAGTTCCTTTTTAACAAATAATAAATGCACTTTTTTTTGGTTTGCAGGTAAAAAAAAAAAATGTACATTTATTTTTGTCCACAGGAGCCTGTAAGCCTGTGAAGCATTGCACCAGCATACATCAGTAGATCGCTGATGCCATGCAAGTCTCCTGCAGACCTGTCAGAATATCTGCTTGCCATACGGGATGTACAAGCAAGCAGATGTACTGACAGGAAGCTGTGGTAGTTCATTGAAAATTACAAGCCCACAGCCGCTAAGGCTGTCAGGACTTGCAGTTCATTAATTCACGGAAGTCCGTGAATGAATGACACAGCCATGTGGGCGTAGCCTTGCATGGCCACGCTGTTTGAAATCTGACAGTACGAGAAGTTTCCCCTTGCAATCTGTCAGAGGGGTGAGGGGTTTTGGGAGCGGCTGAAGCTATGGGAACATGTTACATGTTCCATCCTAAGATTTGCAGTGTGTTGCTTCGATATTGCCACTGTAGGCAGTGTAATTGTATTACTACACTTTAGTGGTATGGTACTATGGAAGTACAGGACAGAATTTGGTGGCTGTGTAAATTGAACTTTACCTTTCACCTGCAGGTTTAATATTGAACAAATCCCCTAAAAGCTCCTATTTTGGCTGCACCCCTAATCTAGCACTTTTATCACCCCCTTTACAGGCATCTGGAGTTTTCTTACATTAGAAGGCTGGTGGCTGCCAAGATATTGCTCTCCAAAGAAAGTAAAATGGAGGAGAGTTGTGATGCATTTAAAAGATGTAAAGTACTTTTACTGCTTCTATGTTATAATGTAGTCTGGGCAAAGGTTCACTTTAAAAGTGACATGTTTTTCTATCCTGGTGGTCACTGCCAAACAGACCAGAAGTGAAGGAAGTCTGCCCAATGGGGATACTGAGCAGGATAAATTTTGAAAAAGCATGGTGAGGTGAGTTAAAGGAACCAAAAGCCCTCCTCTAAACCAGTTTGAAGTGCTGTAGAGACTTCTTTAAAACGTGAAAATAAAACTGATCTGCATGTTTTTCAAATCCTCAAGAAGGGCTGTTTGGTTCTTTTGAAGTCCACCTCACTATAACCAGTCTATTTTATATTTACTCTTTGGTCTTCATGTCCTACTTCTAAGGCCTCATGCTCACTAGGGTGATGGGAGAAAAGCAGTTTTAAAAACATGCATAAAGCAGCGTTTTTTCAAATCCGTTCAGGTGCAGCAAGCGTTTGGGCATTAGTGTAATTGGGCAGAATATTTCTTTATATTTTATTTATTCTTGCCATTGAAATGAATACTCAAGTGCTGATCGCACACAGCACTTAGGCATGTTGGCCGTTTTTTTGTTTTTGGTTTTTTTTTTCTCTGCCCAAATGCTCCTCAAGATTTTGGTGCATTCAGATTTTTTGCAAATATATATAGAGGGGGGGGGGGGGGGGGGGGGGGGGGGGGGAAGGGGGGTTTAGGGGCAGTTTGGTCAGTCTGGCGTTTGACAGCTGCAGTATGCATGATGCCTTTAGAAGCCAATGCACGAATACAACTTAGAGTGCCATCTTTCCCTACGGTATTACAAAAGGTAATCTGGATTTAAATGGGCCAAGGTGAGTATTTTTTCTCAGCAGTACTTGTACAATATCTGCAGTTTTAAGCAAACTAGACACATTGTAAAGCAGGAAGGAATCTTTCCACCTCTGGTCGTGGTTTAGTTGCCCTTTTCTAATTAGACTATTTTGAATATCATCTCCCAGGATAAAACTATATCCTTGTTTTCAATAATGCCATTTTTTGCATCATTCATGTATTCTGTGTAAATGATATCCTGTTGTGCAGCTACTTTGTACATAAAAACACTTACTTTCAAAATGTATATTTGTTTCTTTAACAAGCATATATAATGGTTTAAACCTAATGTAATAAAACTGCATGGTTGTGTATGCAAGCATTCTGTTCTCAACTGGGGAAAAAGTTATTGCTCAAATGTGAGTACTATTGCTCAGATGCTCAAATGTGAGTATTATTGGATTGAACAGGTATATAAACAGTCACTGTACACGACTGCATTAAGGTGGGATGGAGATCTGCTTTATTAACGTGAGATGCAATCATGAGGGGGCTTGGAACCTTTTGGGGGAGGGGGGGGGGGCAAACGGGACTGCACATATCTTGGAAATTGTTTGGAACTTATCTATCCTTTTTTGACAGGATGCAGTGTAAGCCAATTAACTGTCTGATCCATCTACATGTCTTGTTTTGCAGGATGAAACCGGTGCCTATATAATAGATCGAGACCCCACATACTTTGGGCCAGTGTTAAACTATTTGAGACACGGGAAACTGGTGATAAACAAAAACCTAGCCGAAGAAGGTAAGCTTTCTTTTTTTAAATCCACTGCTCAAAAAAATTAAAGAAACACTTTTTTAAGCAGAGTATATCATTAAATTCCTGGGATATTGATCTGGTCAGTTAAGTAGCAGAGGAGGTTGTTAATCAGTTTCAGCTGCTTTTTGATGTTAATGAAATTAACATGCGCACTAGATGGGCAACAGACGACCGCGCCCCCCCCCCCCCCCCAAAACAGGAATGGTTTTACAGGTGGAGGCCATGGACATTTCTTTCCCTACTCCTCTTTTCTGACTGTTTTTCACTAGTTTTGCATTTGGCTAGGGTCAGTGACACTACTGGTAGCATGAGGCGATACCTGGACCCTACAGAGGTTGCACAGATAGTCCAACTCCTCCAGGATGGCACATCAATACGTGCCATTGCCAGAAGGTTTGCTGTGTCTCTCAGCACAGTCTCAAGAGCATGGAGGAGATTCCAGGAGACAGGCAGTTATTCTAGAAGAGCTGAACAGGGCCGTATAAGGTCCTTAACCCATCATCAGGACTGGTATCTGCTCCATTGTGCAAGAAGAAACAGGATGAGCACTGCCAGAGCCCTACAAAATGACCTCCAGCAGGCCACTGGTGTGAATGTCTCTGACCAAGCAATCAGAAACTGACTTCATGAGGGTGACTTGAGGGCCCAATGTCCTCTACTGGACCCTGTGCTCACTGCCTGGCACCTTAGAGCTCAATTGGCATTTGCCATTGAACACCAGAATTGGCAGGTCTGCCACTGGCGCCCTGTGCTTTTCACAAATGAGAGCAGGTTCACCCTGAGCACATGTTACAGACAGGAAAGAGTCTGGAGAAGCCGTGGAGAACATTATGTTGCCTGTAACATTGTTCAGCATGACCGTTTTGGTGGTGGGTCAGTGATGGTCTAGGGAGGCATATCCATGGAGGGACGCACAGACCTCTACAGGCTGGACAATGGCACCCTGACTGGTATTATTTATCGAGATGAAATCCTTGGACCCATTGTTAGACCCTACACTGGTGTAGTGGGTCCTGGGTTCCTTCTGGTGCATGACGATGCCCGGTCTCCTGTTGCAAGAGTATGCAGGCAGTTCATGGAGGATGAAGGAATTGATACCATTGAATAGACCCCACACTCGCCTGACTTAAATCCAATAGAACAGCTCTGGGATATCATGTTTTGGTCCATCTGACTCCGCCAGGTTGCACCTCAGACTGTCTAGGAGCTCAGTGATGCCCTAGTCCAGGTCTGGGAGGAAATACCCAAGGACACCATTCGTCTTCTCATTAGGAGCTTGCCCCGATGTTGTCAGGCATGCGTACAAGCATGTGGGGGCCATACAAACTACTGAGTACTATTTTGTTTAATTGCTGCAATGAAATTTCAGCAAAATGGACTAGCCTGCTGCATCATATTTTCACTTTGATTTTTGGGATGTCTATGAATTCAGTTCTCTGTAGGTTGTTTAATTTCCATCAAACTATGGGGTATCCTTATGTTCCTAACCCATTACCCAGTCCATATCCATATAGATATCCAGTATGATATTTTTCCCCATTGAGATCTGATGTGTTTTCAAATATATTGAGCTGCCACACAGATGGAATCCAAATGGATATGTGTTTCTGTCCATTTAAATCCTGAGATTAGCATAGCTAAGGTTGACACCACTTTCTACATGACCATTAAAGGCCAACTGAAGTTTGTTTGTCAGCTAAATACTTTTCAGGGACATCAAAACTAAAGATTTTATATGAACCCCCTCTGCAAACTGCTATAACCCTTTCTAGCAAACAGTCTGATGAAGTCCTGAGAGGCTCCGAATTGCTTCTGCTGTAATGTTATCACTGAATAAAGCTTTTGACCCATTTCAGAGATCCATGGTGTGCTGGTGATTTTCAGGAAAGTGTGCATTGGGAATTTTGCATTGCAGCTATTAGAGCAGTCTACTCACCGAGGCTCTAGGGACACACTCCCTGTGCCATCTTTAGCTGAATCTAGCTCTGACCCTCCTGGGCCTTCGACTCGATATACCTGAGGCCCCTGTGTATACTTTCATCTAGATTCAGCATGCCCAACAGTCTACACTTAGGGGGGTTGTTTTTTTAATCTGATGACTTGGATTGACAGGGGTTGACTTCTAACCCGGTTGATGCAGTACATGCTACACTGCATTTAGAGAATCTACCTGCTGTTGGGGTCATTTTAGATCTCCCACAGCTACAAAGACCTTTCCATTGCACCCACTGTCTGTCATTCCTCTGATAAGTGGGTAGTTTTCTTCTTTGTAATTTTGATGTTCTAGTCAGCCTCTTGTATGCAACAGCATTGCACTCTCCGTTGGGCCTCTCCTTCAGTCTTTTGATTCTACTGCTATGTGTCTTGTCTCCACACCCTGAGACCTCTGATTTCTACTCCTTGTAGAAACCTTCTCTTGGGAATACCACTTTAACTCGCCACTGAGGAGTCCTTTCCTCCCTCAAATATGTTTCATGTCTTGTGGTTCTTGATACTCCTCAGCCTCTTCTCTTTCTTTAGGAAACTTTTTCGACCTAAAAGGCCGACAGGGATGCTTTTTTTTTTTTTTTTTTTTTTTTTTTTTTTTTTTTTTTCCCCTGGTTGGAACTTGTTCAGTCAGTATCTTCCAGCACCTTTGGACCCTCAGTGGGACCCTGCTGCAGATTTTACTCATCTGTAGATGAAGTCTGGAGGTCTTTTGTAGCACCCAGTCTCCCAGAGATGGGGCCTTCAGGAGAGCTACAGTCTTCTGAAGAAGCCTCCTCCCAGATCCTTTTTTCTTCTGTACTCAATATGTGAAAAATTCCTAGTAATAGCACTAGGATTCCTACCCCTCACTCCCTAATGGAGGTTTCTACTTCAGGTTTAAGTTGTAGAATTCTTAGAATCATAACAGGTACTGGTTAGGCAGGTTATAATGTGTGCTCACTCCTCCAGCATCAACCACAGGTCTTGACTGGGGGATCTTTAAACCCATGGCTATCTTGTGATATTTGCTTTCTTATCTATGTTTTATTTTCTCCTAACCCGTTAGTGTTTTCCACCTATTTTTAGGTAGATGGTTAGTTGGTCCTCTAGTCTTGGTTGAGGCCCATTGTTTCTTCGGGCAATGACATCCCCTAAAGCTTAGCTCGGGAGCATCAGGTTGATTCCCTCCCCTTGGTTGTGGCATTGCCCCAATTTTGTGTGACCTTTCTTCTGCAGATACCTTCGGTATTTATGTTCAGTCATCTCAACATCTTGTACCTTTTCAGTGGCTATTGACCACCCCTCAGACTGTTAGACATCACAACTTTTTCAGAGTTTCTAAACTCCTATATCCCTCATGATCAAAGAATATGCAGAAAAGCTACACTGAAAACGCACATCCACTTTATTAAACTTAAGTCAAGATAAAAACATCATACAGTACACTGGTGGGGGAGAGATTCACGCTAACCTCAGTGCTTAATCATAACCCATGGCAGAGATATCATGCACTGGAATATATGAGTGACAGTCCAATTTGCAGTCGTAACTGCTGGACCTAATTAACTCTTACCTAGACCACTGCATATAGCTGCCTAAAACACAATAGAGACACCTGTCAGTGCAAAAACCAAATGATGTGAATATAAATAATCAAAAATAAAAAAAATGAAAACTATGGACATAAGACTCTGCATGTCAAAGGAAAGGACACAAATATATACACATATATGGGATACTGGTTCACACTGGTGTATATATTTGGGTACTTTGACAGCCTATATGCAGCAAAACTGTACTCCACAAAATAGCCATGATGACAGTTAGAGGTAGGGTTATATGGGGACTGGCATATTGTCGTGTGTTTGTTTGTGGTTTTTTTTTGTTTTTTTTTTTTTTTTTTTTTTTTTTTTTGTGTCTCAACCTCCTGTAGGTGTCAATAAATTCCTGATTGTTTCATAATTTACTGAATTCCTGTGCCCTTCAATGGACTTTGAAGTGAAAGTTTATGTAGAGTACAAAACTCTTCTTTTTGGATTTATTAAGTCCCTTTTGATTTCCCCGGCTTCTTAAAATTGAGCTGAATGTTTTTCCCCTTTATGACTTGGTGTTACATTCCATATCTTTGAGTGACTTGGTGGTTTCATGTGTTGTGGAACTTGCCATCACTGCCGTATTTGAATCTATGTTGTGAACTGAGAGGTTTTTGGAACCTCCTCATTTTGGTAGATCACTTACAGGGGTTGGCCAAAAAAAAAAAATGCAAACGCTATATGATTTGTAGGTGTTAATGTGACAACCTGTTCACCAGTGGAAGTGAAGTAACATACTTTTGCTTCTGCTGTGTGATGAGACACCTAGCTAACAAGTGAGAAACCTCACTTTTTGTCATTCACTGCATGTGCTGTTAGTAATGCGGAGTCATGTCAGAGCTTACTGAGCTTCAAAGAGGGCAAATTGTTGGTGGCTGCTTAGCTGGTGCCTCTGTGACTGACCTTGCCAGTTTATTTGCTGTGTCATGAGATACAGTATCAAAGATTATGACAGCATATACAGTTTCCGGGAACACGGTCGACATGCTCAACTGACAGACCCAAAAGTACATTGTGCAGGATTGTGACCCGAAATAAGAAAACTGCTGCAAAAGTGACTGCAGATCTCAATCCTGTGAAGAATGTTACATCGCCTCGCTTTCAGTGCGAAACATGTCATCCATTTTCACACCTGCAAATCATATAGTGCTTCACTTTGGGAAATTCATGTACTAATTACCAAATTTGTCAGTATTTAGCTGTGTATATATTCTGTATGTATTCTTCTTGCTAGCTTTCTACAAATGTAAAAGCCTGCATTCTAAATCGTACATGTGGGTTTTTGAAAGTATTTAGAATGATGGGACATGCTTGGCTGATCTCTGCAGTCCCCTGAAATGCTAAGTAGTGAAATCTGGTTTAATGTAATTTTTTCATCTGTCAGTGTTTTCGGTTACTAGTTTGTGTTGTGGGTTTAAACTACATTGACTATTACTGTTCTGAATGTACCCTTTCTGGTGATGGTGGGTTATCCAGTGGTGTCTCAACCTTCTATAGTTTTATCTTTGCATTTATTCAGTAATGTGGTACAAAGCTCAGCAAACCATTGCAGTCTGTCAAATTCAGTTTTTACAGATTTAAAGGAAATCTATGGTCACAGCATGCTTAGTTTTTTTATACCATCAGCATTGTAGCAGCAATACAAACGAGTTCTATTTGACAGTCCAATATAAGATTACTTGAAAAATCTCCTTTTTCATATGAGTTCTGCCTGTGTGCTGGCCACCTTTCCGAAACTTCCTAGATACCTAGCATGCAGCTTCTCTCCTGCTGTTTTACTTTAATTTCTAAGGACTACATATCCCATGGTACCTTTGCAGCCTGCAAGCAGTGATTCCTGTACTGACTACTACCTGAAACTCCCCCACTCAGCACCTCTGTAGTTCTGAAGGCAGTCTCTGTGAATTCTGTGACATAGCAGTGTCTTATCAACAAGGCATAGTGAATAATACGTGTCACATAATTCCAGGAAGTGAATGGAGGTGATTTTCACAAAGTAAGCTTTAACTAACTTCTAGATCATTTAGATTATTAGGAGTATACTAGAATTTATTTAAATACAATGTGGAAATTTTACATTTTGACCATAGATGCACTTTGACTACTGGTAGCAGCTACTCTAGTTAGCACGTTGTTAGTGTGTTTTTTGCTTTAGTAATCCCAGAGATGTTCAGGTTCCCTAAAGAATTGGTGGCATTCTGGGTTAGCTTCTTTTAGAATTTATTCTACTTAGGGCTGTTTGTGAATGTTGGTCCAGTGATAAGCATTCAGAAGATTGGAAACAAATGTATATGTAATAGGATGCTGCTGGATGGACATGAAATCCAAAACCTTGTAATGCACACAGTTTCCAGTGACTTCTGTGTCTAGTTAGGTGAGATTTTCTTCAAATTCCACTGACCTTTTCTACTCTCATCCTTTCAACAGGAGTCCTGGAAGAAGCAGAGTTCTACAATATCACATCATTAATTAAGCTTATAAAGGACCGAATAAGAGAGAGGGACAGTAAAACATCACAGGTGAGGCTTTGTGACATATTGAGTAATGGAAGATGGATTTGGTCCAGGAAGATTCATTGTAGAAGAGGCTCACTTGTGTTCATACTTTCCACTGTAATATCCATGTTTAGAGCGCCTGACAGCTGTAGACTATAGCATAGCGTGATTAATGTAGACTATTACCCCCGGTTCACATATGTGTGGGCCACGTTTTGCAGAGGCATGAGAGCCCATTCATTTGAATGGACTCCCGTGCTCGTGACACACCAGGAAGAAGTCCCTGCACTTCTTTGGAAAACGCAGCCCGCACGTGAACCTCGTTTTCCAGTGTGGGTGGTGTGCCATTAGAATGCGGGTCCGCATTTTTCTGTGCGGGTGGTGCAGCTGCACGGATTTTCGTGCGGATCCACAGCGGCACCACCCGCACATATGTGAACCTAGGGTGATAATTGTCCTTTCTCTTTAAACCATATTGTACTCTATACCGTTGTCAGTTACTTGGGCTTTGGTTTAGCCTGTGTTTTGAGCTGTGTTTTACCTAGCACTTTGCACTGGCCTTTCTTTAGCTTTTAGCAATGTCTTGATTGCAAGGTCAGCATGACTATGGAAATTGAATGCCTACACTTTAACATTTTGTGTGGGGGTTCCCTCCCCCCCCCCCCCCCCATCTTGAAAAGCATATTCTGCTTTGACTCTTAGCATCAACACTTTGTTCAGCGCTTGCTGGAATTTCAGTAAACTCAGAGAATGAAAATGCACAAAATGTTCCATAAAAGGAAGTCCTCTGCAGCAGATTCAGGACAGCATTTACAAAGCATCCTCAGTATATATTTTATCTGTACCAGGACAGACAAAACACTCATTGAGCAGAGATTTATGTTACCCAGATAATGAATCTGAACTTTAGCTGTGGCAGTTAAACTAAGCATCATCTGCCCTGATACACAGATCTGCAGAACACCAACCCAAGAAGGAGGTTCGTTTTACTTTATGGGATCCGTGAAAGGGTTTGGTTGAATGGACTGAGCAATACAAGCAAAGTCTAGCAGGGACTGTTGGTGGCAGCAGCAGATGAGTGTAAAGTTAGCAAAGAGAATTCCTGGCCAGAAAATCCCTTAAGCTAATTGGCATTATTTGAGGCTAACCTCTTACAGGAAAAATGATGAGCTTCGGATAAGCCTTGGATGTGTTTTTCATTACATAATGTGAAGTTGGATACACATAACAAAGGTTATTCTTGTTTCATTCCAAATAAGAGCCATACAGCATGTCGTAATGTTGTGGACACTTTGTAAACTTTCCATCTACTTTTTGATAGAAAACTAAAGCCTTGTATGAAAGCCCCCTCCAGTAATCTGCCACCCACAGTTTATAGAAGTTAAACACATCTTTTTGTATGTGTCTTGGGAGCTGCTATGATTCCATAAAAAAAAACAGCTGCCAGCACTCTAACACAGTATTGATAAAGGAAAAAAAAGAGAACGGGAGATGGAAACCCACAATAAGGTTTACCCCCTTTGCTATTGGGATCTATTGGTGTCCCCCATCCCTTGATAAGACACTGAAATTGACAAATCCCTACCTGAAAAACCTAATGGGGTTTGGAAGGTGCCATACCACAAAGTTTTTAAAGTAAAAATGTAGCAAATACAACTTTATTATTAAAATTCAAACTGCCGTTATGGCCTTTGACTACATAAATAGCAGGATTGACATAGTTGTTCAGAGGGACGCAGCCCACTTCTTTAAGGAGACAAAGTATACAGCTCTGAAATTGTACAAAATAGGCCAAAAACATAAAGATAAATATGAAACATAAAGATAAATGACATATTAATGTTACAATAATAAATCTAACAAGCTCTATTAACATTTACCCAATAGTAACCTCAATGGCTTTGACGGAGGCCAATGGAGAACATGAGCATTAGGTCCAAAGAAGAATAGAAAAAGTCTCTCAGTCAAGAATGTAGACATCCGCCAAATAGACAGGATTACCAATCCACTGTTGGAAGCTGCAAAATAATCAAAGGATCAAACCTGTTAGAGAGAATTTGAAGTGCAGACTTTTTAATTCAAGGGATTAAACCTAAATTTTAAGTACAAATCTTTAGGAACTGTGCAACCATTTTTATACAAAGACTGGGTTTCCTCCTTTGTGATGCTTTGCCAGGCTCTAACTGCAGTTATCTTCACTTGTTCTTTGTTTATGGATCTTTCTGCCTTTTTTAGTTTTGCCTTCAGCAAGTGAAATGCATGTTTAATTGGGTTGAGATCAGGTGATTTGACTCGGCCATTGCAGAATATTCCACTTCTTTTTCCTTCAAAAGCTCCTGGGTTGCTTTTTGCAGTGTGTTTTTTTTTGGGTTTTTTTTTTTTTGATCATTGTCCATCTATACTGTGAAGCGCCGTCCAATCAACTTTGCTGCAATTGGCTGAATCTGGGCTGACCGTATAGCTCTAAACACTGCAAAATTCATCCGGCTGCTTCTGTTACATCAATAAACACCAATGTGCCAGTGGAAGCCATACATGCCCATGCCATCACACTGCCTCCACCATGTTTTATAGATGACATTGTGTGTTTTGGATCATGAGCTGTTCCAAGCCTTTCCACTTTTTTATTCCTGTAATTCTGGTACAGATTAATCTTAGTTTCATTCATTCAAAGAATTCTTTTCCTGAACTGGTCTGGCTTTTTTAGATGTGTTTTGGCAAAGTCTAATCTGGCTTTTGTGTTCTTCAGGCTTATGAATGGTTTGCACGTTGTGGTGAACCCTCTGTCTTTTGCTCTCGTAAAGTCCTTCTCTTGATTGTAGACTTTGACAATGATATGCCCACCTCCTGGAGAGTGTCCTTCACTTGTCTGGATGTTGTGAATGGGTTTTCTTTGATCATAGAGAGGATCCTGCGATCATCCACCACTGTTGTCTTCTGTGGACGTCCATGCCTTTTTTTTATGTTGCCGAGCTCACCAGTGCATTCTTTCCTCAGAATGTACCAAACTGTTGATTTTGGCCACTGCTAATGTTGCTGCTATCTCTCTGATGGATTTGTTTAGTTTTTTGAAGCATTACAATGGCCTGTTTCACTTGCATGGACAGTTCCTTTGAGCACATGATGTAGGTTCACAGCAATAGATTCCAAATGCAAATTACCACAGAGTCAACTTCATTATTTCTTCATCAATTAAGCAGGTAAAAAGTCTGAAGGAGTAGCTCACACCTGGCCATGAAACCTTTTCTGATTCAATTGTCCAATTACTTTTTGGTCCCTTGAAAAAGGGGGGATAGCTACTCTTAAGAGCTGTAATGCCTAAACCCTTCCAATTTGGATGTACATACCCTCCAATTAAACCTGGGAGTGTGCGCCTTCAGCCCACATCCATTATACAGCTATAGCTTGAATGTTTTGGTAAATATCTGGGAAAAAAACTAAAATTGTGCCTGTGTCCAAATATATATGGACCTAACTGTATATCTGTCTGTCTCTCGCTAGCATTGGTGCTTGTGTTGCCTGCAAATCATGAGTTTTCCAATAACTGTTCAACTTCTGTCCACTGCAAGGTGCCAGTTAAACATGTTTACAGAGTGCTGCAGTGTCAGGAGGAAGAGCTCACTCAGATGGTCTCAACAATGTCTGATGGCTGGAAGTTTGAGCAGGTAAGCAATGAGATTAGCATACAGTGTTTTTAATTTAGAATGTGTCAGAGATTCAGGTATGACCAGAGATGTGTTGACTGACACAGGGAACAGCAGGCTTCAGAAATGATGAAATAATAATAAAATTTATTAGGAGCACAAATATACAAACGCACATGCAACCAAAAACCAAACCTCCAACTAATAGATATGTACAATTGTAGTCAGGCTGGAGAGGTGGAGTGGTCAGGCAGGCCGGGTCAGGAACAATCGGGTAGACAAGGTACAAAATGAGCAGGCAAAGAATGGTCAGGAATAGCCGGGGTCGGTGCAGGCGGAGTTCTAGCAGAGTCAGAGTCAAGCAGGCAGGATACAGGAAACGGGATCAGGACAACAGGGCACATGGGAAAATACCAAGGCACTGATTGCAGGCCTGATGCTGCTTAAATATACCTCCTGCAATCAGCCTCAGGTGATGGCTTGATTGCAGGAGTGAGATCTTGGCTGCTGAAAGCACCCGCTGGCAAGCACCGGTACTGCAGCCCACACGGCAGGGGAGCCCATTCCTGACAGAATTCTGACCTGAGTTTAATTAGCCCTCCTAGTTCCTGTTCTTATCTGGTAACTGCAGGATCATTAGTGTATGTTGGTGGAGATAGGAGAATAAGACTTGCTGAAATAGTCTAGGTAAGGGTGAACTTGGCAGGGTTAACACCTTTCAGGGCTGGCTCAAACTAGAACGCATGCTGGTTTTGACAGCCTGTTAATTTCAGTGGGCTGCCAAATACACAAGAGTGCATAATCAGTAATGCCATGGAGTTTAAGGGCTGCAAACTTGCTGCATTTGCTAGATGTGTTTGGGATTCCATTAAAATATAATTGCACCCACATCTAAGGGCAGCGTGTTCCTGTGCAGTAATCACGCACAGAAATGCACCTTTTGTGCACCCCGTTCTAGTGTGAACCGGCCCTCCGTCCACAGAAATGCCATGTGTTGTCAGCCCACATGACTTAGGAGCCAAATGCATTCCTGGCAAATCATTGGTATTTTTCTGTGCCTAAAACACCTAGGGCATGTGTGTATATTACTGTAATGTATAATTTTCCCCTGAGATGCACTTTAAGCCACATTTTCTGGTTAGACGGTTACTATTTTTATTAGCCCAGCCATACTTGGATTGACATTTGGCCTGTTCAGCAGGGACCAGCCAAATTTCGATACATGTATGGGTAGGGAACTTGTACAGAAGTCAATCTACAGATCAACGTTTATACAACTTCCCTGTCGAATTTCTCCCCACTGTCAGAATACAAAGGAGGGGTTTCCCCATCCACCATCGAAAATTCGGTAAATTGAGATAGAGATACACATCTGATCTCAATGGGGAAAAATATCATGCTGGATATCCTATACTGATACGGAGTGAGTAATGTGTTAGGAATGTAAGGATGCCCCATTGTTTGATGGAAATAAAAATGATCAACCTACAGAGGACTGAATTCAATGACGCCCTGAAAATCAAAGTGAAAAAATAATGGAGCAGAATAGTCCATTTTGCTGTAATTTCATTGCAGCAACTCAAAATGGTACTCTGTAGTTTTGTATGGCCCCCACGTGCTTGTTTGCATGCCTTACAATGTCAGGATGGACTGAAACATGATACCCCAGAGTTGTTCTATTGGATTTAGATCAGGCGAGCGTGGGGGTCATTCAATGGTATCAATTCCTTCATCCTCCAGGAACTGCCTGCATATTCTCGCCACCTGAGACTGGGCATTGTCATGCACCAGAAGGACCCCAGGACCCACTGCACCAGTGTAGGGTCTGACAGTGGGTCCAAGGATTTCATCCCGATACCCAATAGCAGTCAGGGTGCCTTTTGTCTATGCCAGTGGTCTCCAAACTATGGCCCTCCAGCTGTTGAAGTACTAAAAGTCCCATCATGCCTCTGGGAGTCTTGCTTGTTGCTGTCAGTTTTGCAAGACCTCATGGGACTTGCAGTTCCTCAACACCTGGAGGGCCATAGTTTGGAGACCCCCTGGTCTAGGCTGTAGAGGTCTGTGCATCCCTCCATGGATATTCCTCCCCAGACCATCACTGATGTACCACCAAAACTGACATGCTGAACAATGTTCTAGGTAGCATAACCTTCTCCACGGCTTCTCCAGACCCTCTCACGTCTGTCACGTGCTCAGGGTGAACCTGCTGTCATCTGTGAAAAGCACAGGACGCCAGTGGTGGACCTGCTAATTCTGGTGTTCAATGGCAAATGCCAATCAAGCTCTATGGTGCCAGACAGTGATCACAGAGCCCACTAGAGTACATTGGGCCCTCAGGCCACCCTCATGTCCAGCTCTCCTAGAGTAAGTGCCCGTCTCCTGGAATCTCCTCCATGCTCTTGAGACTGTGTGCAGGGAGCCACAGAAAACCTTCTGGCAATGGCACTTTATGTGCCACTGGAGGAGTTGGACTGCCTGTGCAATCTCTGTAGGGCCCAGGTATGGCTTGATGCTACCAGTAGTGACACTGACCCTAGCCAAATGCAAAACTAGTGAAAAACAGTCAGAAACGTTGAGTGGGGGAAAAAATGTCAGTGGCCTACACCTTTTTAAAACCATTCCTGTTTTGGGGATTGTCTCATTGTTGCCCATCTAGTGCACCTCTTAATGTAATTAACACCAAAGCAGCTGAAATTGATTAACAACCCCCCTCTGCTACTTAACTGACCAGATCAATATCCCAGTAATTTAATTGACTTCATGCTATACTCTTATTTTAAAAGTGTTCCTTTTAATTTTTTTGAGCAGTATAACTATAATAGAATAGAGTATGTTCTGTTCTGTCGGGTCAAAAGTATTGAACACGTCACCATTTTCCTAGGTAAATTATTCTAAAGGTGCTATTGACATGAAATTTCATCACATGTCGGTAACAATACATACATACATACATACATACATACATACATACATACATACATAGAAACCAAAACAAATACGTTCAAAAATTTAAGTTATGTGTAATAAAATCGAAGGACACAGGGAAAAAGTATTGAACAAATGAAGAAGGGGAGGTGTGAAAAGGCATGGAAAGACACCAGCTGAAATCTATCAGTAATTAGAAAGCAATCCTGCCCTTTTCAGTGCAAACTAATATCAGTTAATACCATTTATTCCTATTGAAAGTATGTTTTGCTAAAACGTCATCATAGGTGTTGAAACCCTCAGTAAGTAACACTTCTAAATCTAAGCAATTAGTCAAGGTAAATGCTCAGTTCATTTAAATGTTGATTTCCTATTCAATTATGCTTCATGCTTTTATACTTTTGATTTCTAATGAGTACAATTCAGTCTAATTTTGTTAATGTTTTCAGCTGGTCAACATTGGTTCTTCCTATAATTATGGAAATGAAGACCAGGCAGAATTTTTTGTGTGTGGTCTCCAAAGAATTGCACAATACCCCATATGGCACAACTAGTGAACCAAGTGAAAAGGCAAAGGTATGCTCTGTCTGTTTTTATCTACTCTAAATGATTTTGTTATATTTATTTTTTTTTTAACAGTTGCATTTTTATTGAAATTTGTACATAAGTAAAATAAAGCAAGGTACATAAGAACAGGCAAACTTATGGCAAGCAGTAGCAATACAATTCACATGACCTTTCCACACCAAAGATCATACCGAGTCAACTGGCCATCCTGGGTGACTGTGGGGGGGGAGGGGTGGATGAGGAGGAAAACCTCAAATGATTTTATTTTAGTGGAATGCTGCTGCATGGATGTAGCAAGGGGACCAGGGTTTGCAAAGTGCTGTAATGCTTTTAAATGCTTTAAAACTTGTTAGGTGTTCTAAGCTCTGCTGAAAAGAAAGTAGAACTATCTTTTTTTGGTAGCCTTTTATTTTCTTTAATTTTCTTCTCTTTTGACCTTTTCAAGAATGCTTGAGTTGATCTTGACACATCAGCTATCTAGATCGGCGTATCCTCAACAACTGCTTTAGAGACTGTGCTCTGACCCATTGGACTGTATGATTGTGAAGCTAGACTGCACTGTGACCTTTTGACTCTGCATTGTGGTGCTTTCTATATCTTTGTGTATTGTTGGCCACAGAGCTCTTCCTAGGTCCAGAAACCTGGCACAGCCTCTGGTGTGACGCTGTCTTGGAGGACTCTCATAGTGAGTAAAGCTAGTAGGGATAAGACACTGGGAGCTTTTGTTGTGTGTTTTTTTTTTTTTTTTTTTTTTTTTTTGCACCTTTTGCATGTGCAGTGATGCATGCATGCTCTGTGCACTTATTTCAGCCTGAGGAAACGTGCTCTTGCTCCCAAAGCACCACGTGGATCATCCAGTCTCATTCCAATGGCTTGGTCACCTTTTGGACAGCTGCAGTTCCTATCAGCCCCAGATCCTCGGGTTTGATGCTTGCCTTACTTTGAGTCTGGTTGTTTTCCACTACTTGATGCAGCCTTTCTTCTCAAAGAAACGCACAGGACAGTCCCACTGGACTAGGTAACCTTGGTTCATACTCTCCTACTGGTTCAGGGGTTGTTTTCCCAGTGTCCCCAGAATGAACAGATATCTGTGACCCATGTTGTAGGTTTGTTCTCATCAGACACTTCTTCAGGATCGAATACTTATTTCCCTCAAGAACATGCAAATCAGTTCATAATTTGTTAGACATGCATTTCTTTAGAATTTTTTGTTGCTGTTCTGTCTCTCAGTTTTACAAAACACCTACCATTCGATTTTTAGACTGATCATTTCTTTGTGAGTGGGCAAACATTCAAAATCAGCAGGGGATCAAATACTTATTTCCTTCACTGTAAGTGCCAATTTACATATGCGATTTGAACCTCACCCAATGCATGACATGTGAAATAACATTGCTTCCTTTGTTGCCTGTTCACATATGTCAGGGCAGTTTGAAAGTCATATATGATTTCTGAGCAGTGCCTTCAGGTTCCGATACGGATTACAGGCTATTTGGGGAACCATTTTCTAAAATGCATATGTGTGAACAGGATGAAATCCTGTCCTAAACCTGATGTAGACATGACATGAACCACTGAATAACTACTGTGTCAATTAGCTGTGATACCTGAGCTTCAATCCACACTGCATATGTATGAATCTGCTCTCACTTTTACTTGAATTTTTCTGCCGCAAGATCCAGTGTATGGACATTCATAAATTATAAAATCCATGTGCAAGGAGCCTTATAAAGAATGGTCACTGCTGCTGTCTCTCTGATGTAGCATGGCTGGTTTTGTATCTGCCCACTTTCTGCTTGTAGTGTTGGATCTGCTGGGTCCTTCTCCCAAATGTGCTCTCCATACTTATACTCCATATAAGTAGTACAGTGATGTCCCTGCTACTGTTACAAAGTTATTCTGGATTTTTCAAAGGCATTTGGTTGCAAAAAGTGGATTTGTATGCTTTTGTGGCTATTGAGGAATATATTTAACCAACTTTTTGCCCAGAGTTCAGCTTTAGGACTACATTCTTACAGCAGTTTAGGTGTGGCCAGGGGCTGCTGCCAGCAAAAATCAGCAGAATCTTGCTGACCGTTTTGTGAACGCTGTTTGCACACCCTGTGTGCAAACAGCTGCAACTGTCAGGGGCTGGTTACGCTGCTCTTCATATGTAACCACACATCTGAGGTTTTTGAATAGAGCCTTCGGGCAAAAAAGCCTAAACCTGAAGGAGTACCAAAGGAAGACGGGAGTGTTGACACCAAAGCGCTAGAGGGGATCACATAGGGGGGTAAGTGTGCCATAATGGATTAATATGCTATGCATGTTGGCTCATTTGGCTAAAAGGAGGGGTGGTGTGTGTGTGTAATGGGTTTTTTGCTTGTGTGTGTTTTTTTTTTTTTTTTTTTTTTTACACTGGAGGTTAGCGGCAGAAAAAAAACCTCAATCACTTATGCGTTTAAAAGAAGAGGGTTTTGACTGAAAAACCATTTGAGGTGCCTAAACGTGTAGGTAGTGCTTTAATATTTTTTTTTTTAATTTCAATGGCCAGAATAAATTTAATATTCTGGCCAGTGAAATAAAACACCAAAGTACTTGATGCAAACTCATTGCAAAAATGTGGCTTAGGCGCATTTTTTAGGCTGCTTTTCTCCTGCTGGGAGAATTGTTTACAAAAGTCCCAGTATGCATGAGACCTAATACAGCTGTAGAACTTTCATTTTCACATGTACAATATCTGTGAGCCCAGTCATAGAATTGGCATTGTTTGCTAGTAACCTCCCCTAATCAGTTTTTTTTTTTTTTCCTAGCTTGTATGTTTTCTCTTTTCACTTACCATTTCTTTTTTCTTTTTCATTCCTTTTTCTTTGCACATGCATGCTGCATGCTGATACAGAGTGAGGACGAAGAGACGGATTACGATATGAATGACTCAGATTAAATTTTAATATGCTGGTGAGCACTGGCTTTCCTTAATCCCCACTGACTTCCTCAGAGCTGCCCTAGCCTGTCTCAATCACACCTTTTGTCACTAGCTGCCTCCTAGAGTACAGTGCGTTCCTGGCTTCCCCTGTACAAGATTCTAGATTTTTAGATCTTCCAACACATTGTGTGTAATATAGCTTCTGTCTGAAATGTTTTGAGCTGGTAATACAAAAAAAAAAAAAAAAAAAAATCCTTGCACTGAAACCAGGATGTGAGATGCCCAACATAGTATAAGTCTTCAATTATCTGCCTTCGTGATTCCTTTTTATGTTAATGTCACAAAGCTAAACCAAATCCCTTCCTGTCCAGTGGTTTTGGACTCTGCTTATAGAAATGCTTTTTTATTCCTGTACTGTGGTTTTAGCAAGTTTTTGTTCTGCCAGGTAAACTCAGCTTTTAAGAGTGTTGGGTAAGATGAGAGTAAATGCGCTGCGATCTTTGGTTTTCTGCCCATTATTGCATTTGTGTGTCGTGGCATATTCCCTAGAGGGTCCGTTAGAGATTCAGGTAAGTGTTTGTTTCCCTACATTGAGAAGGGAACTTTGCTAGGAAGAGTTAAAAAAAAAAAAAAACAACAAAAAAACAAAAAAAAAACATAATTACCTATGTCAAGGAACTTTGGACTTGTGTCTATGGCATTGGTGCATTTGACCCGTTGTAGACCATTTGACCTACTTCAAGCTGGATCCATCCCATAGACCTGTATAGAAATGCAAACTCAACTGCCACAAGCAAAAGGCCATTAATACAGGCCCTAATGGTTCTCTCAGTACAAGAGATACTGTATGTGAGTCATTTGTGCATTCAGGCAGTTACTGGTGGCCACCACTGTACATAACACCAGAACCATGCCCTGCTCTTCAATCAGGGGAGGATCTGCGGCTTCTAATTTTCACCTGGGGAAAAAAATTCTCAACTGGGGGGGGGGGGGGGGGGGGTTGACACACATTACCACGAACTTTAAAAGCAAGTCCTTCTACAGTACTGCTCTGTTTTTGTTTCTTTATTCAGAGAAATCTGATGAAGGAGGCTTAGCCCAAGGCTCTCATCTGCCATCCTCCACCCATCCTCTCCTTGATGGTGTCTGTGGGGGGGGGGGCTACCATCCATTTTTCCACCCAAAGTGTAATTTCCTCTTTGTGGTCAGGGAAACATTTTGGGCTTTCTTCCTTTAGTTCTTATTGAATGCTGGCTCTTTTTTGAGGTGATGTATCCCTTAGTTTTGATTGGCCTAGTTTGGATCTTTCCTGTAAATGGTGCTGGGGCAGTGAATGGACATCTCTGCCTTGGGATGGGCCAGGCTAATCCCACCCAGAGGAGACACCCAGGACTGCTGCTCTAGTGGAATTGGGTCACTTTCTGGGCTCCTGATTTTTAAGCTGCATAGGGAGAGTGGCCAGAAAAGGCACCAACCAGTCCTCCTGATGGTGGCTTCAGATGTCCTGGCATGGTTGGCTGCATGTTATCCTTTATGTGCCATGCTCACACCACAACACTGGTGTCATGTGCAGATTTTTTTTTTCTGTGCAGGAATCTGCAACATGTATAAAACGCAGATGAAAACTGATGTAAGTTAAAATCTGCTTGTTCGTTTCCTTCAGTCTTTCAGCAGTCTACAGGCTTCTGCATTACCTGAAAGCCTGTAGAAGGCTGTTAGCAGCTTATTTAAAAAAACATCCAGCACTCCCATAATGGGCTGTTTAAAAAGCAACCTTCTGCTCTAGTTTGTAGAATGTACAGCTTTTATAAAGCTTTCTTGAAGCATTTAACATCCACAGTTATACAAGCTCAAGTAATTCCTTATGGATCTCTGGCTTATAGAGACTCTCGCTATTTTTAAATCTGAAACCAAAGCCTGTATGTCTCATATCTAGTAGTGATGTATGAGCTGGTCAGAAGAATAACTTCTAGAAGTGTAGAATACTTGTAGCTCTTGGTGATTGCAGTTTTTTGCCAGCTTTCCAAAACACGGGTTGCCGAAAAGGTAAGCGTATTCATGCTGCTTTTACAGGTGACCTGTTGGGTTAAAATGATCTTTTTGGGGACAGGGTTGCTTTAATAGGCCACTGTCAAGGAAGAAGTATGCAGACTGGGAGTTCTCATTTCACCAGCTACATAATTGTTTCAAGTTGGTATTCTAGAGGGTTAGTATGGCAGACCGACAACTGGCTACTTCTGACAGAAGTCTTTAAAGTTTGCAGTGCCAGGGAAAAAGGCAAAATAAAATCCTATGCGTTTTGTTGATTAACTTTTTGCAACACAGGAGGTGAAAACCTATTTGCTGGTGGCACACCACCACCCTAGAGATGTGGAATGAATTCCCTGGATCAAAATATTCCCACATTACATTTTTACTAATTTTCCGCCCAGGTGTTAATCGCACTAGTTTTAGTCGTCTTCATATGATATATAATATAAGCTAGCTGCAGGTGTGAAGATTCTGCATTTCAGTAGATGCTGGTAAGTATGTTTTGGGCCAAATAAAGTGTTTGTAGCAGTTTAGCCATGTGGTAGCCTTTTTTTGTTTTTTGTTTTTTTTTTGTTTTTTAACCATATGACTTGGATCTACAAAATGCAGGTTCTTTTTAGAGGTTATGTGGCTACTACCAGTCATCTCACTAACATTCAGTTTTGTTGTCTTTCAGATTTTACAAGAACGAGGCTCCCGAATATGAAGTATTTTGAAAGAATCCCTTTTTTTTTTTCTTTGCCATACAATTTTATTACAAGCAAAGAAATCCACTTTGGGGAGCCACCGCAAGAAGCCTGCTTTAGATCCTAGAATTTGTTGGCCTATTTTCTTTATTTTCGCTGACAGTTGTGTTTTCGGATGGAAGCTTCAGTGTTTTCATGGGAAATGTGTATTGAACAGTAACTTCTATTAAGTGGGTATATTGCCTATTTTCTTCTGAGACACAAACTTGTTTTCTTCTCCTGACAGTTTAATTTTTTATACAGCTTTGATACAGAAAAGCGGTTAGCTGACAGTCTGCACATTCAATGCTTTGCGTTGGATTGCAACATAAAGTGACACTACACACAACCCATGATTGTTCATAAAAATTCAGTCTGGTCACTGTGGGGGTGATGTTGCTGTGCATTTAAATCTCTAGTAAGCAAGCCGAAACACCTGAAGCAATTTCAACTAAGGTGGGTTTCCAAAACATATATGCAAAGGGAACACGAAGCATGTCTATGTATTCTGCACTTGTCTATTGCTGCAATTGGTTACCTTCCAGAGAGACTCTTCTTTCTTGACAAAAACTGAAACCATTTTTTTTTATGTTATATATTTTTCTAAGAAACGTTTTTGTGATGTAAATATATCTTATTATCTTATAACAGATAAATATGAACTTGGAAAATTGTGTGTACAGTAGGAAAATTGTCATCCACCTGCAGGCTGAACTTGCTAAGCTGTTTTAACATTTTCATGAAGGTCAAGTCTGAAAAAAAATTTGGCTTCAAAAATAAAGCTGTGTAAAGGGCAGTTGTGTGCCAAATGCAATAACCCATAACAACTTAATTTCAATTTACTGAAATGGTCAGTATGAGATGATGACTTCATTATGGGCTACTGCAGGCTTGCACATCAATGTTTTTGGCTTCTTTGATGGGATTTCTTGTCTTCCTTGCTGTAACAAATCGCCTCCCCCATTACCTGGAACACTATGGCAGAGTATACATGATGAAAGGCAAAACCTCCTGTCTCCTTGTGTGGTAAAAGTTAACTCCTTCACTAAATGCTGTCATCTAAAGTAATCTCAAAAGAGAACCATATAATTGAAGGGCCCATTCATAAAAGTGCGCTGTGACACTTATTACTGCATCATATGATTACGTGTATTAGTCCTCTTGAATAGAAACCTCCAAAGCATCTGCTTTACAATGTAGTGTCAACACACTACATTGTGGTATGCTGTTAAATGCAGAATGGTCTGTTGTGGTGTGTTAGGCAGCTAATTCAAATAAATCGGCTACTTAACACACTACAATGGGCTGATGTAAATGGAACCTTTGAAAAATGTTGGGTTTGTTTTGTTGATAATAACATCTTTATTATAGTTCTCGTTTTAGTGGTGTAAAAAAAATGACAAATTTAAGATGAATGTTTTTAAACAATCAAAATACAATTTCCAGGCTGAGAACTCTTGCAAAAATGCCACACTTTAGTATCCTATAAAAATAGGAACATTTCCGGTGTCTGCTGCTTGGTTTTTATATGCAGCAGAGCTAATGGGTGTACTGCAATTTTGCATAGACTACTTTGAATTGATTTTGTGCCTGGTTTTGCTTAAATTGCAAGTCTAGGAAGTGTTGGGATACGTAATTCAGTGGGTGTATCAACCTTTCTCAACACAGTTGATTTGAATGAAGGGAAAGCTTCTGTTGCAGGTTAATACCAAATTAGTTTCAACTTTGTCACTTTTTTTTTTCTTCTCAATGTAGTGAGGTTTGGTTTAACTCAACTACTCTGTGTGACTGTGGCTTTGCCCATGCATTTTAGGGAACTTAAGTGAAAAGAAGACCCTTCCAGCTACTTGCCATGGCAAATTTAAAAAGTATCTCCCTGTATATTTTTTTAGGTTAAAGCTCATTTGTTCCTGGAAAGCAAATGGATCTAGGAGTATGTGTCCTAATGGCTTACAGTATTCATGGCAGTTCTCCAGTGGAGCTATTCTTTGTTTCATGCTGCTGCCATTTTTTTCCTTTCTCCTTTGCTGCCATACACTAAGACACCTGGCTTTAGGTAATAGTGAGAAGTATTTTTTTAATTTACAACTATGGAGAGTGTTATGGTGTTTCCTGAAGGTGGGTTTCCCTTTCCTATTGATGGCTTCACTGGGGTGTCAATATTTATTTATTTTATTTTTTTTTCAAATGAATGCCATTTTATATTTGGTGTAGGAACACAAAAGCCTTAAGCAAAAGAGGAAGGGTGTACGTAGTAACCAGACTTTAATGTATGTTTTTTTTTTTTTTTTGCCCCCAGTAGTAATCTGTTGTACAGCTGCTATTACATTTGGGGAGACATGTCTTGTTCTACTGGGCATATGACTTGTTTAGGTCACATTCACACTGGCAGCAAAAGCAAGCAGTTGGGTTTTTGGTTGGCAGTAAAAACATGACCTAACAAGGCAGCGGAGTGAGGTCATACAAATGCCACGATACTTTGCAGCCACATCAAATTTAACTTTGCTTGCTGAATTTGACAGGCAGCTCTGAGTTTGACAGGTGACGCTGCCTGTCAGACTGGCCCATGGAAGTCAGTGAGACTGCTCTGCAACCATGGTCCAAACGCTTTTTAGCTTGTGGCTTTTGTGGCATGTTGGTTCAATATCTATCCATACAGTCATATCCGACCCTTGGTGATTGCTTGGACCGTCACTCGTAAGCGACTTTTTCCATGAATTCTCTTAAAAATTATTTTACAGGGTAGGTTTCCAGGTCTTTCCCCAACCCCTACCATGCAGGAGATCCCACATGGCCAGGGATGAAACTAGGACAATTTATACAGGAGCCAATTAACTACCAGCATGTCTTTGGAGTGTGGAAGGAAACCGAAATACCCGGAGGAAACCCACGCAAGCACAGGGAGAACATGCAAACTCCATGCAGGAGGCGCCATGGTTGGGAATTGAACCCATGACCCATTTACTGCAAGGCAGATGTGCTAACCACTAAGCCACCGTGCCGCCCCATGGTTCAATATAAAATTGCTATTTTGCAGGGGGAAAAAGTGTGTGTGTGTGTGTGTGTGTGTGTGTGTGTGTGTGTGTGTGTGTGTGTGTGTGTGTGTACACACACACTATATGTATGTATATACATACACTTAAGAAAAAAATACCTGGCAGTGACTGGTGTGCTTTTTTTAAGGTATCATTGAGAATAATGCATGGCTAGGTTCCTGAAGCTTAAAGTAAAGAGGTGTGAAAGCTTTCCTTTACTGCCTGCTCAATTATGCAGATGTAGAAATTTTTCATTAAAAAATTATGATCCAGTGATAAATGATATATGGGTGTTTTTTTTTTTTTTTTTTCTCCATAAAGGAGAAAGATAAGTCAATTAAACTCTAAGCATTCATCTTGGTAACTTTTTTGTTACTTTAGGAATAAGTGCACTTTTTATAATGTATTCTGTACCAGACACAGATTAATCAAGCAAATTTTAAAAACTCATTTTCTTGCTTCTGCTGTCCTGTAAAAATAAAAACTGTACTGGAATCCTTTTCATAAGGAAAACACAAATGTTTGGCCAGCCTGCCCTCTATGTACTGTGTATAGGCTCTTTTAATGGGGCACATTTTATCATGGCCACAAAGTCTTGTGGGTCCTATTTTTATATCTGACACATCTCTGCATAGAGTGTTGTAGTGAATGCTACCCCTACAATTTGCATTTCATATAATGAAGTGGAAAGCACACTTTGTAATGCACACAGCTTTTGTGTTATAAATGTGCTAGATGGTATATATTATATATAATGCAATGCTGTGCATTCTACAAATGTGCTGAAAGTAGGAGGCAGATGCTAAATAAATAAAAGAGTGTGTGTGTGTGTATATATATATATATATAATATAATTTTTTTAATTTTATTTTTTTCCCCATATTCTGACAGATAACCTGGGCTACGAAACAGCTGTGTATTGTGAGTCTACCTAACAATCTATTTTACATAGAATATTTACTTAGGCCCGCACAACTTCCAGTTTTGTTGCTCTGATAAATTGAAAATTGTTTTCTTGACACTGTTTTACATTTTGACAGATTAACCCCTAAAACAGCTTGAAGTGTGTCAGTGATAAGTTGGTTTTGTTTTTCAAAATCGAGTCACTACAACAATTTAAACTACAGGAAACATGTCTAATAAACGGCTCATGTATGAAGTTTGCTCTGTTACAGAATTTTCTGGTCTCTCAACATTCCTGACCTTTTTTGTTTTCAATTTGAATTCTTCCATACACACCCATATATTTGTAGTGTGGCCTAACACTGTTCTGTTTTAAGCAAATACACTTCCTCAACAATTTTGTCATTTTACAGACTTTTGAAGTTTTTTTTTTATGTGACTTGTATTCTACAAATCTTTAAACAAAAAGGGCTATACAATCCTGTATTAGTTACTAAAAATAAAACTTTGTAATGCAGTAAGAAAAAAGGGCTAATCTGTATGAACGTGTTTTTTTATTTATTTAGTGATGAACATCACCAAAAATTGTGTTTAACTACAAAGCTATAGATATAGGTAAGTTTGTTTATAGCCATTGTGGGTATTTGTGCGGTTACCTAACAGAGTTTGGCTGAGCATATGAACATTGAGCAAAATCACCAATAAGCAGTACTATGTACCCCTCCACCATCAAGGAAACCTTCTCACATAGGGCTTTATCTGAGCTCTGGGCTGTAATTTTACAGATTTGTACTTTTTGCTAGGCACTTTTTTTTTTTTTTAAATGAGCTGTACACCAAGTATTGTAATGTTATTGCCAATCTTGCAGGATTAAACACTCCTTTTGTTTACAGCCAAGGAAGCTGCCATCTTAACCTCAGTTTGACCGGCAGTTGCCATGATGTTGCATATGTGATCAGTTAGGACACCAGCCAGTTCATGGCTTGACCGTTCAATTGAGAGGAAAAGGAACTGTGAAAGTTCTTTTTGGCATTTTGGGAAG